CAAAACCCTGCTTGGCTTTTAGGAAACCCTTGATTTTTTTTGTTTTTGTTTTTGTTTTTGTTTTTTTAATAAATGGAACAGATGCATCTGGCACCATCCCTTCCCCCTGTTGTCTACCTGGAATGAGGATGAGATGCCTGCAGCTATGGCATCCACAGTGTGACTATGAGTGAAAGGCGAAGAAAAACGTAAGATGTTACCCCCAATATTATGGTGCCCTAAACCAATGCCAGCTACTGACAACCTCCAGACTTCCTGTTATGGAAGGAAAATAAATCCCAATTCATGTAAGCCCTTGTCAGTTGGCTTTTCTGTTTCTTGTCATTGAAAAGCCTTCCTAAGTGATAAACATGCTTATGGATGTTTTCGAAGCAAGGAGGCTTCAAGGAGCCCTTTAGCCTTTCCAGTCAAACGGGAGATACGTCGTCAGGGCCCTCCACTTAGGAAAGGAAATATCCAGAAGGACGTCTCTCCTTCTCCAGCACGACCTAGACCTAGTTTTGTGCACGTGGCCCCATGTGGGCCTCATCTGGCCTCCAAAGGAAGCGCCCTGGATTGTTCGCTCCATTCAGGAAAAACTAGGCCCCTGGGTGGAGTAGCAAAAAAGTAAAAAAAGACAGCATTGCTCTGATGGTCCCTCTGCCGCTCTGTTCCCTGAAGATCTTGAAGTGTTCTGAGACACGGGCCAGGTCTTGGGCCTCACTCCCAGGATGATGGTAGGGCCACCGCAGAGGCATGCTTTTTCTGCTGCTCCCCCATCCTTCTTCCCTGGGATCCTGGGAGCTACAAGACCCCGTCCCATGAGGTTTTCCAGACCAACTCTCCTGATTCAGACACGCGGAAAATAAAGAGCAGACCCCAGAGAATAAGCAAAAGGAAACTGGAGTCTTTGCTGCGTTGTTATCTCTTTACCACCTTGGAAGGGGATGCTAATCTCCTAGTTGATCCTTGCTAAGTGCTCCTTCTCTCCCTCCTTCAAGGGCTCCTCTGCTTTTCCTCCTTGGCCTGCCCTCCAGGCATCCTCCATTCTTCACCTCTTCTCACTCACATCCTTCATTCATTTCTGTGGCTTCCATATCTCCTGAAACCCTGGTCTCTTTGCTCAGCCCACACCTGCTCCTGGGCCCCAGCCTCAAATACGCAGCTAGTCCTTACACATCTGCACCCGGGCTCTATAAACTTAACATGTCCCTAACATAAATATTTTCCCCCAGTCTGTTCCTACCCCTTCCTATCTTCCATGGCACCATTGCCCCCTCTGTTACCTTCCCATTGCTGCTATAACAAATTACCACAAACCAAGTGGCTTATAACATCACACATGTATTATCTTATACTTCTGGAGACCAGAAATCCAAAATGGCTCTTGCTAGGCTACAACCAAGGTGTTGGCAGGGCTGCATGCCTTCTAGAAGCTCTAGGGAAAAGTCCATGCCCTTGTCTTTTCCAGCCTCCCAAGGCCACCTGCATTCCTTGGCTTATGGCCTCTTGTGGCCAACAATTATGTCCCTCCAAGCTCTGCAGTGTCCTTCCATTTTCTTCTGGAAAGGTCGTGCCTCCTTCTTTCTTTACCTTTTTAAAATGTTTATTTATGTATTATGTATGTATGTATGCATTTATGTAATCTCTACATCCAACGTGGGGCTCAAACCCTCAACCCCAAGATCAAGAGTCACACATTCTACCAACTGAGCCACCCTGGTGACCCCTCCTTCTTTCACTTCTAAGAATCATTATGATTATATTATCCACCTGGATAATCTAAAATTATCTCCCCACCTCAAGGTCCTTACTTTAGTCACATCTGCAAAGTGCCTTTTGCCACATAGGTAACTTAGTCATAGTTTCCAGGGATTAGGACTCGAACATGCTTAGGGGCCATTGTTCTACCTTTCACACCTCCTTTTAATAAGAATTGCCACCATGGGGGCACCTGGACAGTGCAGTCAGTTGGGCAGTTGGGCATCTGGCTCTTGATTTCGACTCAGGTCGTAATCTCACCGTGAGATTGAGCCCCTTGGTGAGATCGAGCCCCATGTCAGGCTCTGCACTGATGCTTGGAAGTCTGTCTTTCTCTTTCTGCCCCTCCACTCCTTGTGCTCTGTGTCTCTCAAAATAAATAAATGAACTGTAAAATAATAATAATTGCTACTGTTACTAGCAATTTTGTAGTCTGGGCTCTGGGCTGATTTTTTTTTTTTTCCTAAGTATTTTCATGCACAATCGAGATGATGCAAAACGAAAAGATGCCTTTAGTACTCCCGAAAATCTACTGGCAAGAGAAAACCACTCATCTGCAGACACAGGCTAACTTTCATGAAAAGGGAGGGATGACACAGAGGTCAGAACAAGAGTTCAGAGGGGAGAGCCAGAAGCCATGAAGGATTAGTCCATATGGATTTAGCCCCTATGAAATCCAACCAAAGCCTGGTTGGATTTCAGAATTGCTATGGACCACTTTTTCCCTTTTGAACAGGAATGTACATAGCAGCTATCTTATGCCCCTCCTACCTTGTATACAGGGTATGGTGGGAGCAGATAACTCATCTCTTTGTTTACCTGGTCAACAGGAAACTTTCATGGGAACCTGTTTAAGAAACTACACCTGAGGAGTCTTATCTGCACCTGGACTTGATGTAGATGATGAGATAGATACAGCTCGTGCTGGAGTGAGGGGAGACTTTGGGTTTTTGTGGGGAGGGGGGCAGGGGAAGAGTATATTTTGCATGCCAGAGGGGTGCAAACATTAAGGGCCAGAGGGCAGAGGCGGCCATCTTCCAAGATGGCCCCCATTGTTCACAAGTCCCAACAATCACAATTTTGCAAAGTCCCTTGCACACTGCACCAGTAGCACATGGCAAAAGTGATGCTACACAACTTCTGAGGTAGCTCATCAAAGACTGTGGCCGTTATTTGGGGTATGTTGTCTCTCTGTTTCTGTCTGACTCCATCTTTCAGATTACTCACTGTGGGGACAAGCTGTTGTGTTGTGAGTAACCCCATAGGGAAGCCCACCTGGTGAGGAAGAGAGACCCTGAGACAGAAACACCCAACCAAGCTGCCTCCAGAATCCTGAGCCTCAGAAACCTCGTGAGATACATTCATTGTTTTGTGTTACTAACTTTTGGGGTAATTTGTTATGTAGTGATATCTGTTTCAAGGGGCTGGAGAGGTATGCTTTAAGAGGTATGATCTCGGGGCGCCTGGGTGGCGCAGTCAGTTAAGCGTCCGACTTCAGCCAGGTCACGATCTCGCGGTCCGTGAGTTCGAGCCCCGCGTCAGGCTC